CTGCACTGAGAAAGCTGAAACCCATGAACAATCCTAAAAGTCCTCCTGTGTTAGCTGAAACAAAATCAAAAATTGTTTTATTAATTAATTTTTATTTTATCACTTACCTAAAACTTATAAGTTTTAGTTTTTATAAAAATTAATTTAATCAATTAAAACAAATTTTATCACACAAAAAATAAACTAATTATTATTTGTTATAAAATATAGTTTTTGAACATTAAAATTCAATAAATTATACTTTTTTTTTTTAAACTTAATATGATATCATTACTACCATTTATAATATGCTTATAGCCTTACATAAAAATTCTGTAAATCCAAACAACTCTCCTTTCGTAAAACCAGTAAATTGAGTTTCTTCAAAGAAAAAGTGAATTACAGCCATATTTTTTCTAAAACATAATTGAATATAATATAGTCAGTATTAAGGTTATAGATCATTTATAACTATATATATAAATTATGTATAATACATTTGTCAACCCTTAAAATGTTTTTTTTTAAATAGAGATTCATGTGTGTGAAATGCTTCCCATTTTCTAAGACTAGGTGATTTGCTTCTCTATATCATTGATCCTAATACAATTAGTTAGTTTTAGGTGAACAAATGTATATACTTAAAAAGACGATACACCTGCAAATGTTGTCTTCGTCTTACATACTTAGAACATAGAAAATTTGCGTTTAATAGAACTTAATTTTGTCAATTAAAATTATTTTTCTCACTGAAAAATCCCTTTTTTTTTAAACAAAAAACCCATTTAAGTACGTAACTTAATAACAAGGAGTTAGAATGATGACTGAAATACTAAATCGTAGACGATGATAATTGTTCACACATAATATTGAACAGATTTTGTCTATCCGTTTATTACTATATCTAATCCGAAAATTTTATAAATATAGTACTACAAATAAAAAATAATATATTAAAATATACAGAACAAAATACTATTTATTTGTTAATGATTGGTTGTCATTGAACAATGAACGATAAAAAATGTGTATCTACCCCAAAAAACGTATATAATTTATGAGCTATTAACAGTTTTTATTTCACGTTTCAAATGATATTTCATTTCCTGAGAATTCTAACCATACCTAAAGAAATGTGAAATAATATTTAAAGGCAATGATAAATAATTGGATTTCAAATTAAATTAAAATTGTGGATTAAGTAACTTTCATTAGAAAAATGCAGATCTTGCAATATTTTTTTTTTTTTTTTTTTTGACATAGGTATTTACATTAAGTAGTTACAAAGTTTTTTTTAGCAACTATATAAACAGATCATTTCAAATATTACAACCTAAATTTTTATATACATAAAATATGTCTCTGAATTTATTATTTATTCAGATTTTTATAACTATGCTGCTAAAGACGATCTTAAATATATTTACATATATTATATATAGCTGAATGTTATTTTTAGATTCTACAGAATTAAAAAAATGTTTAAACTGAATGATAAATGTATTGATTTTACAATGATTGTTTTGTACCGTAATAATTTTATTAAAGTGAACAAATTAGTTAGATACTCACTTAAAATAACTGGAAGTTTTTCCAGCTAAATATTTTGGCTTGATTTTATAACTATTGGCCAAAGGTGATGATGATTGTACTTTGTTGTATCCAATCCAATAACATCCTGGTAAGCAAGTGCAATTTGGTAAATATGTTCCATTCAATAATTGTGTCATGTTCGTTAATGGTGAACTATATCGCAGTTCTATTGCCACTTAAAAACGAATAAAAGTTGATTAATATTAGACGGAAGTCATTGTTTCTACATTGAATCAATGTACATTAAGATACTATATTAAGGTGAAATAACGTATACATTTTACATTTATTTTAAAAATAACTGATGTCTGCTTCAAGTTTTCATTGTACATTTGTACCTATAAGTCCTGCGCTCAATTGTCCCGCTCCTAACTTTCTGCGCCCAAGTGTCGACATAACATTTTTTTTTGTATAAACATTTAAATTTTACTTATTTTTTAGTTTTTTTTATTATTTTAAAAATTACTAAGAATTTATCCAAATACAATTAAATATTTTTACTATTTTAATAGGTGATGACAGATAGCAAAAAATTACATAGTGTACCTAATCAATATACTTATCGTTCCACTTAAAATCTAAAAATGTTAAAAAATAGATAGACAATTAAAATATAATATTATATTACTTTTTGCTTGAAACTTACGTTTAGCTTTATCTGAACATGCTTCATCTTTTTTTCCACAAATCCTTGAAAAACTGTCTTCTAAAAATATAATTATACGTATAGCAATCAATACCATAGTCAAAATATACGTAAAATTAAGTAATTATATTTTTGGTAATAACTACATTTAAATTTTAAACCTATAAACGTAGTTACTCATCAATACACATTCTATTGTAATTTTTTATTCTAATTTTACATATTTTATATCTTACATATTACATCAATGTTGTATAATATGTATTTATATTATTAGCTATTGGTTTTAAAATATTATTGTAGAAAAAAGATTTAAATAAATGCAAGCGTTATAAATGTTTAAAAACCGGGAAATCGATATCTTCTACATATTTTGTTTATATCAATATCTTTTTATAAAAAACTAGTTTTGTGTAAATATTCCCGTTTTTCGATTATTTTTTATCTATCACTAAGCACTTATTATTTATTTTGAATACCTCAATGTATTAACTAAATTTTTTTTTTTATCAGAAACCTCTAACATTTTTTAAGAACGAAACAATTCTACTACTCCTAAATGTTATTAAAAATATATCACTACACAACAAATGCTTCGAATTTACAATTCAATGATGATTGAAGTTAAAGTGGTCTATGAATCCTTATTAGTTTTAAATTTCTAAACCCGACACTGGTTAAAGCATGTTAATAAAATAATTAATTTATTGATATCGTACTTGGCATATAATACATGACGCATTGACAAAACATTAGTGTAAAATTTGCTTCACATTCTAGTATACAGTTCCGTTGAGTATAAGTTGTATAAAATCTTAATTGTTTTTCCGCCGAGTACACACATTGACGTTTTTCTTTTTCTATTTCAGCTAATGCTGGTGTAGCCATCCCTACTGTAGGATTGATTTCTATTGATGTTTCTCTTCCTGGAGATATTAAACTTCCAAATGATGATATTTTTGGAGTTTCTACGGGACTGTGTAACATCACCTAAAATAAATATTATAATTACTGATTTCTGATTTTTGATAGCATAATAAAATATATTTAAGCAAGATTTTCATATTTTTACTTAATAATTATCTTAATTTTTGTGTATGTATAAGTAATTTGATAGTGATAAAAAATTTAACGAATTATTAAACAGATTTCACTGGAAAAATTATTCTTTGAAATTTTTTTTTTATTGTTTGTTAAATATTTTTAGCGTTTATATTTAAAAAAAAATTGCAAATTATGTGAGAAAAATAATAACTTATTTAATTGGATGCAAATACTGTACTTATTTAATTTTAATTAAAAAAAAATTAAATGTTTAATATATTTTAACAATATATTGTTATAAATTAATTATGTTTGAATAAAAAAATTATATTTTTCTAATTTTTTAAGCTAATGTAAGAATATTTAAAGGTTTTTTTTTTATTAGATTAGCAATGTATATTTTCAACTTTTTTTTGACCAGTCTTTTAAAGTATTTAAATACTTTTATTACTTAAAAAAAAATATATTTGAAATATTATTTTATTTATATTTTGTAATTTAAATTCAAATAATTTTGTTTGAAAAACTATTTCGTTTTTATTCGGGTTTTCATTATTATTATTTTTCTATGCACACAGAAATAAATTCGATACAACTGTAGAATTTTCCAACTTTTTTTTACAGTTTTGAACCAACGACGTCGCGGAAACTGCTTGCGCATTTTTTCCGCGACGCCGCCGAAGAGGAGCGTTTTCCAACTTATGGTACCTACACAAATGAAATCTCGTTTTATAAAAAAATTATTTTTATTAACATTAACGTTAAATTTTGATAAGCAAAACAAAAATGGAGGTCAAATAATACCTACACATTCTAAAAATGGGTAGTTAGTAGTCGTATATAATAAAATTGAGTGCATATTCTTAGATTATTTTCTTAAAAAATAAACGTATATTGTGATATGAATTGAAAATTATAAATATAACTTTTTTCGACTATAGTTAACGGATGTTGTAGTTTTGTGTACGTTACACGTATGTATAAGAGATAAATATATAATAAACAGACTCACTCAATTCTGTGTTACACGAATTGTTAATATATTATGTAGGAACATTTTATGATATTTAAAAACGATTTGGTGTCAATGTGGTAGTTATAGGTACAGTAGAACTTCGATTAACCGTCACTGTCGGGACCGGGGCTATGACGGTTAATCGAATAGACGGTTAACGGAAATTTTGCAAAAAAAAAAAACGTGTACATACATATACACACATTTATTATATTTTTACGTGTGTGTACTTTAAAAATAATACATATAAAAAAAATATAACATATAAATAAATTATTATAACACATATAAATTATAAACATCTCATACATACCACACTTATTATAAAAAAAAATCGTCTAATCGCCTAATTATTTTTTTTTTCGGCGATGACTGATGACGGATAACAGAGAGTGACGGTTAATCGAGTGACGGTTAATCGAAGTTCTACTGTATATGCTTAATATAATGTAAAGGTTAAATTAGTCACTAAACTCAATAGTCTAGTTTAAACATTTAAGACAAAATGTATATTTTAAAATTATTTGCATTTGTTCTCAAATTTTTATTAATACATTTGTTTGAAATATTATTTAAATAATTGTTATGTTTGCGTATTTATATCTTTATTTAAATACAAGTGAAAGTATAGTTTTACTCTATTGATTCAAATCCTATAAATTTATAATATTACCTTGAATCCATAGCTGACTTCTGATGAACAATAATATTCCTCAATTTCAGCATCCAAAACAAGAGTTAATCCTAGATGATTACCTGCACCCCAGGGCCTCCACGGTATATATTCAGCAGGCGTATTTGGCGGGTATCCATTTTCAGGAGTCCAATTTGCAGACGGATTTTGAAAGGTAACATTTAAATCTGATAAATATTTTGGGTTCCGAAATATGTAATCCGGTTTTACTTTATTGAATGAACAGCATATACCTTCGTCAGTTAATGAAGGATTAAATAATTGTGAACAAACTTTAGGGTTGTTTGCCCATTGACATGATACAATCATGTCATTGCAGGGTTGAGATACTCTAATCATAAATTTTTTTAATGAATCCCAATCGCCTGTGTAATTGTCAATTGATGAATCCATTGACAATGGATCTTCGTCACAGAAATCACTTAACAAACGGCGGTCGATATTGTTATTAATTTTTGAAGATCTATTACGTAAATATACATAAGTTGTCAAAATATATTTATGTATTTTAAGAAATTCTTAGTTGTTAATTAATTAATTATACATTACGTTTCTAAAATGGTCCGGGCAACAGATTTTCTTGCGTTGTTCATGTTACATATGGTAATGGCAGGAAATGGTATACTTGTAAGCTGAGTTGCTTTTGGCGATAGACTTATAATTACAGGCATGTCTTGCCATTTATGGACCAAGTTCACAATAAAGTAAATTGCTGCGATAACTGCTAATCCAAAAGACATTATCCAAAAACACCTTAAAACGCAATAATGTGTAATTTAAGATAATATGTCAATAAACTGTATTGATTAATAATTTTATTTTGTTATTTTACTGCACCTTTCACTAGCGCTAAGTTCATTATTACCGGCATATCTAAGTCCGTGCAAAGTCGTATTCTGCGAATAGTCGTTTAACATTCTTTTCCATTTATTACCGATTTTTTTGTTTTTAGATTTTGGTTTTGTGTGAGTATTAGTACTATTGTTTATAAACCAGTTGGATTTATTTTTAATATCAAAATTATTACGAAAATGTCTATTTATTGGATACTTATAAGGTTCAAAGTCTTTAGTATACATGTTTTAAAAATGTTCAATAAAAAACTTAAAAAGAACTTCAAATAGCAATATTATTCAATAGCACGACACACTTCTAGCCCATACGCATATTGAGGTTATATTATTATTCAGATATATCATGCAGGTAGTTTCTTGTTGTTTTAAAATGTTTAAGGTTTAAACATTATGACATGTGATTCACTTAATATATAAATTACTTTTAATATCATGTTTAATATTAAAAAAATAATAATAATAATAAGTATAGGTAGATGGTACAGTTAATTCTTATTATATTTTCTAATGTATATATCCATGTTATAGGTAAACATGGATGAGTCAAACAATATTAAAAAAGTAAAAAGTAAAGAGGTATCAGAAATTTACAAGTAAGTTATAACAATACATCACAATAATTAATGAAAAGATATAGATTTTTTTTTTGACCTTCTATATCTATATAATAGAGAACTAAAATATACACAATAAATACATTTTTACATTTTAATTTAATTAATGGGTAATTGATTATTATGTAGAATGATGCATGATTAATTTTGGATTAATATATTATGATAATATGGTGTTAATATATTTAACATATTGTATATTATATATTTTTCATTTTTAGAATATTTGAAGAAATATATTTGAAAGCGCCTCCTGTTTTAAAAGATCTATCAAACAACTCTGTAGATATTGATTATAAAGAATTCATACAAGAACAAATAGATTTTAAGAAAAGTATATCATTTTTTTTTTTTTACATTTTTAATTTATTTAATCAATATTTATTTAATTTTAAGTTGATACAAAATTTAATAATGGAGAATACTGTTCTATTACTGATGCAATAAAAGATATAAGGACAGTATTTTTAAATTGCTATTCATTTTATGGTGTTAGAAGTGATCATACTAAAAAATCATTGGAAATTGAAGAATTATTAGAAGAAAAAATCAGTTGTCTTGATAAGTAATAATTATTCATTTATTCAAATTATATTTTTAGAAATAAAATAATTCTTTTTTAGAAATTATAAATCACTGGCTAATGTTGATCTTACATTCAATTTGCTAAACATGGAAAGTAAACATAATTCTAAATTGAGATATCCAAAAGGTATGTTATTGATTTATTAATTAAATTGTACATTACTTCATTAAAATTATAAAATAAATGATTAAAATATTATGTTTAGATTGTTATGATTCAGTATTGTTAAGAAGTGTTGCACATTGTCGCCCTGAAAGATTAAAGAAGTATCATAAAATATTGTCTACCACTCTTACCACTGATGAAGATAATGCACATATTTTAGAAAAAATATTATGTTGGGAAAATGAAGTTTATTTTAATGACATATTTCATCGATATATCAGCTCAATGTGGGAGGTTAATATTATAATGATTAACATAAGTTTAAATATGTATTTTGTGTTAAATCTGAATTAATTTTTTTTATGTTTTAGCTACCAGAAATAGGTAATTTTGTGACTATTATATTTAAAAAACTTGATCTTGATATTATTAATCAAGGAGAAATTGAAAGAATGTTTTTAATGCCTAAAGAATCTACAACTATGGGTAAAATCATGACTACTCTTTTGATGCCAATCAAAAAAACAAAGTTTGTTGGTCAAGTAATGCCATATACAATTTGGTCTGAAAAACTTTCAAGAAAAGTATCAGACTGGTTTAAAGTATACCACTCAAAAAATAAAAATAAAGTTATTGTAAGTATTATTTTTATTACTAACAAATTTATTTTTAATACTTATATGGAATAAATAATAAAAATAATTTTATATTTCAGGTAATGAATTCACTAGGTATCCATCCAGATTTTTGGACTGTTATGAATGAAAAAAATCCTTTAGTTGAAAAAGATTATAGTGAACTCTCATATTTCATGAAAGTTTGGCTTCTAAAAGGACTCTGTGATTATGTTTCTGTAAGTTTAATAACATTTATATGTATTAATAATCTCTATTATTTATGTATATATTTGTTTTAGGTTAAATTTAAAACTATTAATGATATTATTACAAATTGTAATGAAAGACAATGTACTATATGGAAAAATGATTTAGAAACCGAGGAATATTTCTTTTTTGATTCAATGCCGGATTTAAGGATATATTATTATAACATTCCATTTGATGAAGTAATCATTTTATAATTATAATTTATATCATTTAAATAATATTATTATTATGAAATAATTTTATTTATTTTTAAGCCAAGTCTTGAATTTCTTGAATCAAAAAAAACTGATAAAGAAATGGAAAATATCAAAGCTAATCAACCTATGAATGGTAAGAACATTCCTTCAAACTTTTGTATTAATAATTTATATTTTATAAAATTTATATTTTCAAAGGTTTTTGTTCATTTAAAAAAGAAAAAAATTTTAAGTTAATTGCTGATTCGGTTGAAGGTCTTCGGACATTTCTTTATAAATTGGATATGGAAGGAACATCTGTACCTGAAAAATTAATAACTGCTCTAGAAGATTTTCTTATGAAAATTGAATCAGAAGAATATAATTTCATTGTCTTAAACAATGATTCTAAAATAAAATTATTTAAAGACTGTGAATCATATCCAGATAGAATTCAAAAGGATAAAGATAATATATCATTTTGGGAAAGAAAAGATTCAAAGTCAATAGTTCAAGGTAGTATACATTTTAGATTTTATGTGTAGCAATGAATGTATTGATTTTATGATTATGTGTTAGTGTTTTTTTTTTTTTTGTAATCACCCTTTGAACCGAAAAATTACTTGAATTTTCAACTTCAATGTATTTTTTAGTAGAAAAATAAATTTAGTTAATTTATGAAAGAGAGAAGTCAAAAATTAAAACCTCTCAACATTTTAAAAAATAAGTACAACTTTCAAAATATTTTGACTTTTTGAGTTATGTATAGATTTCTTAATATATGACCATAATTTTTCCTTTTTATGTATGTTAATAAAAAGTAAATACTTTCGAATGGTTAATACCAGAGTTTAAAAAAAAAAAACAGCCTAATACACAATCATTTTTTACTAACATTTGATTAGTTTTAAAGAAAATATATTTAATATTCATATCATAGCCTAGTAATTGAACAAAGCCATTTTTTTGAATAAAACATCAATTATGAGATTATGATCATCATTAATTTCTTCAAAAAAAGATAACTTTTTTGAACTTTGTATTTTATTTATTTAATTTTTATTAATTAAAAGAAATAGCTCATAGTATATATATATATATATATTATAGTTTTCGATTTTTTAAATTAAATTTTAATATTTAGGAATTAAAAATTAAATACAAGAATTATTATAAGTTTTTCTTTGACTGGTATAAAAATATCAAAAATATATAAGTACTATTTTTTATTCTAAGTTAAAATGTTGACAAACATTTAAACTAGAAACAACAATTTTAATATTATTTCGTTATACTGTTAGTCCTTATTAAATGATGTCTCATATAACATTATTTTGATGTTTACTATTGCATCTAGAATTTTATATTTGTATGTTTCATTTTTCATTTTTTTTATTAACATTATATTTTACTTATTATTGTTATATTGATATAATTTAATTAATTTGGGTTAAATATGCAGTTAGTGCAATAAAGTTTGTTTGATCAGTAATCACTTTTTTGATTATATTGTCTCTTTTCTTCATCCCTTTTTATTTAATTGTATCATAATATCCTGGTTTGCCTTGAATTGCTGAAAAAATAAAAAGTAAACAAAAAAAATTTAAGTATTTTAATAAAACTTGATATTATAAAACATTTTAAAGCCCACTAACAAGGGATGATCATTTCCACAATATATCAAGCTATTTATATTAATCTAAGCTGATATGATCTCTGGTAAAAATTGTCTTTTATAATTTAACATACCCATTTCAGCAACCAACTCAATGATAGTATTTACTTAATGCTTACTATGTAGCAAATAGAGTTTTTTGTTTTTATACTCAATATTCATAATTATTTTATTATTCTACAAATAATTCAAACTAATATTATGGTTTTTAAATTTAAGCTCCTGATGAAGAAATTATTGTTGAGAAACGTCAAAGAAAATTAATCGTACAGCAAGATTTTGAAACTGATGACTATTATGAATCTGATGAATATATTAGTGAAAATGATAAAATCTTATCTGATTTTACTGACTCTGAAGATGAATGGGGTGCTATTAATCAGCCTAAAAATAAAGTTAAACAACCACTGCAAACCCCTACTAAACTTCTTGAACTAGAAAAGCGGTTATGTGTAGAAGGAAAAATGCCAAAACACAATGTTAAAAACATATTTGATACTAGTCAGAGTTATGAATATTATGAACATAATAAAACATTAGCTAGTTCAAAAAATAAAAATAATCTATCACTTTTAGAAAAGAAAGATTCAAAGCCAACAATAAAAGGTAATAGATATTTATATTTAATAATTCTTGTTAAATTAAAATAATAAATTTTAAAATATTGTACTAAAATACTTTGTTCAAAATGTGATCAGTACTTAGTGGTGACGGTATCATAACGTCTATCGGCATGCTTTGTCAAATTGACCATAAAGCTAAAGCATTGGAACAAAGTCATATCCATAATAATATTTACTAGCAATATATTTTTTATTTTGAAGACATATTTAAAAAAATAACAATATGGTCATTATTTTGTAACCACTTAATAATTTAACAATTAAAAAGTCAATATCATCTGACAACAATTTAAGGTAACTTGTTACAAGTTAACCATATTTTAACTAAAGAAAATTTAAATATTTGTTTTTCAATTGAAATAGTGCTATCAACAAACATAAAAATAAAATATTAAATTTTAATTTTCCATAAGTTATTACAAATGAAGAGTGTTTTGAATATGAAAATGACTATAACTAAGACATAATAAAATTGGAAATTCTTCAAAATTCTCTGTTTAAGTCTTACAGTTTTGTTAGATGATTAGGTCTAAACTTCAATCACTCCTTATTTATTTAATAACTGGCAGTACATTTTACCAAAGTTTTTGAGTAGATCAAGTTCATAATAGCGTGTTAATTTTATTATTGATAATTGGGTTATTAATTTTTATTTTATAATTTCTAACTTAATTTTTTTTATTTATTTCTGCCTTCTGGTACTTCTTAATAGTATTTCATTATTGTTTTTTTTAAATAATTATACATGTCATTAATTTCAATGTGTTGTTAATACATTTTATTTTCTATTTGTAACTATTTCCAATACTTATTATCTTAACGTTTTTAAATATTTATATAGGTGTTATTATTCCAAATATTCTAATTATATCAGATATATTCTATTTATTTAAATAAAAAATATATTTTAGACATTATGCAATATCATCATCATTATTATTATTATTTTTAGCTCAGAGTAATGAAATAATTTTGAGAAAACGGACAAGACAATTGGCGACAAGACAATATTTTGAAACTGATAAGTACTATGAATCTGAAGAATATTTTAGTGAAAATGATGTTAAATCCATATCTGATTTTACTAATTCTGAAGACGAATGGGGTGCTATAAACCAGCCTAAAAACAAAATTAAACCATTACTGCAAACACCTCCTAAACTTGCTAAATTAGAAAAACGATTGAGGGTAGAAGATAAAGTGCCAAAACACACTAAAATTAAAGTGTTTGATACTAATAAGAAAGATAATTCTATCAAATCAGTTGAATTACCAAAAACTCAAAATAATGTTAAATGTAATAATAATACTAATAAAATTGTTTATGATCATAATAAAAGAGTGATTGATTCCAAAAACATTGATAATGTTTTTAGTAATGAAGAAATTGTGCTTATTGATAGTGATAAAGAAGAAAACGAAAAACCACCCGATAGTTTAAAACCAGTAGAAATTATAACCGTAGATGAAGATATGCAAAATGATTGTGAAATTCTTTATAATAATTTAGAAATATCAATCTCTACTTGTACTGAAAATAAAAATAATAAAACTAATAAACAAGATAATTATAAACCAACAGAATCTGTTGTTATTTCAGTTGAAGATGATGATCAAATTATTATTAGTGATGATGAAGATGATGTTCAATTTATTTCAATGACTGTAACACACAAGAGTTCACCGTCAAAAATTAAAAAACCTTGTAATTTTAAAACTAACTTAAATAGATCATACAACTCTGTTTCTGCAAACAGAAAAATAATTCCTACTAATTATAATAAATCTCAAGCAACATCATCTATTATACAAAAACTTTCACAAAATGTTACTATTATGCCAGCAAATGTACATTTACCAAAAGGTATTGAAGTCACTATGGTTAAAACACCACAGAAAAAAATAGACTCCCATTTTAATTCAATCAAAAGGAGGTCAATTATGTCAAATGGCCATCTTCCAAATAACTCTTCAATGGTTAATGTGAAATGTCAAATTATTTCAAAGCCAGATTTAAATGGTGAAGTTAATTTTTATGTTAGATTACCCAATGGAAAAGAACATCCTGGTCCTAATGAACTTATTAATCAATACCTTAAAGAACACAATAACCAATTACCTGACTATTGGTTGGTGCCTTTACCAGTGGAAGTTGCTAAACAATATTGTATTAACTAAAAGAAAAAATTTCTTATAGTATAATACAAAATCCTTATTCTTATGATCTCTATACTATTTTAAGGATTTTTAGCAGTATAATTAAATTTTTTTAAGTTTTTTTTATGATTTTTCCAATCCTATTTTGACATTGTTAATCGAATAATATATTTTTAATACAAACAAGAAATTGATTAAACTTTATAATAATAAATAAATATTTGTGATGTTTTTTGTGAGCAATGTATTTGTTACTATGTTTTGTTTTTATCTATTTGTATAATGATATATATATTTATATGTACTGTAAACATGTATTTATGTACTACAATATTGACTTATAAACTATAAGTTAATAGGTATTAATAAAGTAAAACAGCATAATTATTATTCAATATATACAATGTTTTGGTCAATAATTAGTTTATTATGTCCACTATAATAATAATAAAATTATAAATTACTAATAGTAATATAAATAAACTACGTATAAAATATCCAATGCAACTCGGTTAAGTGATTTTACTTGTACATATTAAAAATTCTTACAGCATTTGGACATTAAAATGAAAGAAATGTATACTTTTGTTATGAAGTTTATCTGCCGAGTGCTATTATATTATGCTTTAATAGACAACTTGGGATTAAGGGAGAACAATCCAGAGAGATGCACAAGACTTTATGTGTCTTTAATTTTTAACAATACATATTTTATAGGATTGTAATAATTAATTCTTTTAAAATATTATGAGTGGAAGAAAATACTTAGGTATTACTTTTAATCCTTTATAAAAATAAAAGTATTTAAAAAGAAAAAATTATTTTGAAAATAAAATACTTGATATTACTTAATTTTTTTCTTGGAATTTAATAATTGTTATCAGTTATATGATAAATGTGCACATATGATAAAAAAATTCATTTCAGCTAAATCTAAAAAAAAAAATGTTTGAATTAAATACTTCCACATGTTATGAATTATATTATATTTAAAGATAATTTTTTAGATAATATCTACTTTATTTCATAGTGTAGGCTCAAAAACTTTAATCTGGACTTGATAATAGGAACTTATAATATTTATAATATTTCAAATACGTGATAAATTTTGTGTTATGTAAAGTTTGTAATCTAATTTTTTTATTATCAATATTAAAATATTATAAATGAACTATATAAAGCTCTCTCTCGCACTATCTTCAAATAAAAAAAAAAAATTGCGTTGGATAGCTCGTCTTTTAAAATTATTATAGGTTACAATAATGTAACATCACGGAATTCAAATAATGTTGGATCACGCATGAATTTTGTTTCAGCCAACAAAAATCGAACAACTTTTCGTAAGTTATTGTCATTTGTTAATGGTTAGGTATTGAAAATAAAATTATTATTGTGATTAGACATATTTATTTTTTCATGAAAAATCTACATAACGGAGATTTATTTGGAAAAACCTTGATTTTCTCGCAGTCAATTATTTGTCAGATGTTTTTCTAGGCAAGTCTGTACGTACATTCTACTAACATCATGACAAAAACCATTGTTTAAAACATAGCTTTGGAAAATGTCTCTTTTGCAATAATTATTTACAATCTCATTCTTACTATAAGTTTTTTGCTTTGTTTATACCTATCTTATAAATCATTTTGTACGCTATGAATTTTATACATATTGTGCGATTAAATATAATGAAATTTGGAAAAACGAATAAAGTGCTAGATTGCGATTTAATTAATAGAGTAGCTTGATTTCAACTTAATTGAAATAGTTCATAAAGTGAGTTTCACCGACGCCAGTAGACCGAAATAGATAGGTTCTACTGGACAGTGCAGATATAGCCTCCGCAATTCTCTCATGAATCATAATTATCATAATACCTAATAATAATTACGTTTAACAATCACGCTTATGGAAGGTACGTAACGTTTTTTTATTTAAATTGTTATGATCCGCACACAACGCGGCATAACGCGCTTACGACTTTTTATTATATTACGGTAATTAATTAATGTATACCTATAATAAATAATATCTAACCTATAACAGCTACATAAAAAAAAATTTTACTTAAGTACTTAACGTTATCGGAAAAAAATTTGTACCCAAACGTGTTGTAGCTTGTTTATCATTGAATTTAAATTTAACATATCCATTACAATTTAATTTAATATATAGGTAATATTATCTTTAATCGTATGTTACAATGATTTAACCAAATAGGCATGTCAAGATATATATATTAAAAGTATTTTAATCTATATATATTATAATATATGATGTATGATATATGATATAAATGACTATGCGTTGATTAGTACATATACCTAAGTACCTACTATAAATAGTTTTAGTGTTTTTTTTTTTAATTTCCATCATAATATAGCTCGTTAGTCGTTAAATTTCCGACTTGTTTCAATTATTGTAAAATTTAAAAAAAAGAAAAAGAAAAGTAAACATGGGGTACCACTTTACTGTACATTACGTATCGAGAGGGTCACTATGATGGTGTATTAAAATTGAGTTCAATAATTTACCTATCAATAAATACGAAAAACGATTCTGCAAAACGGAGATTTGTTAACCTTTATTACTAAGTATACTTCTTGATTTGTTTTTACTAATAAAATCATTACTAAGTAATTTATTTTACTGTTAGTATTACAATTTTTAACAGTAGGTTATTATAATTTTCTCTAAAAATATTGCATTTATCATATTATTAGTATTTAATTAATAATTATTATATTATAGTATATATTTATACCATATATTACATCAACTTAAGTAATTCAAATTTTAATAATATTTTTCTATAAATACCGTAAAATAGTAAAAAAAATTCCATTATAAAAATAGATGATAAAATATCATAGAAAAATCAAAAAGCTCATCGAGTACTTATAGTATAATTCATAATAATAAAATATTATACATATACGTTTTAAATTCCCACCATTAATGTTGAAGTTAACTCTTCCAGTCATTAAAGCTTACCTATCATCTAACATTCAATTTGGATTTTGCCACAATCACTCTTTTCTATAACTACCCTAAATCCACTGCCTAGTTGACAACATCTTCTACGCATTGAAAAAAATACTAATATGTAGGTACAGGTACATTCCTAGACGTGCAAGCACAAGCTTTCAACACAGTTTGACATAAAAGCCTTCTCTTCAAGTTAAACTGTTTTTTCTCCTGCTAATAGCTCTTTAAATCTTCCTTTCAGAACAGAAACTTCACTGTACGCTCAGTATCTTACACATCTGAAATATTCCCAATTTATGCCGGTATACCATACAAGCTGCGGCCGCAGCTTCACTATTATTCAACCTATATTCACCTCAGATCAACCTACCGGCTACCACTAAATTTACAACTACCTGTGATTTCTTTAGTGACAAACCACTCTTAGCTCTCCATCCCAATCCCTAAATGGTACAAAGCTCATTCAAAACCATCTAAAATTTCTTATCGTTTTGGTTTAAAGAACAGGGGGCTAAATTTAGCGAAATAATATATCTTACGTTCACGCTTGGACAAGCTGTCTACCTTCTTATCAATCCCAGTTACCTCTATATTATCCGTCCAAAGTGACCACTATTTAGGTCTTTGTGTTTGTATACTAACTATCCCTGTGTACTTCGTAACTATACTAAATACATTTGAGTTAAATTTGGTTGCATAATGATAAAATTTAGCGTAATGCATGTGGATAAATATTTTTAGTATACTGATTTTGTGTGGGTATCCGGTATAGTAGTATAATTAGTATAGATGATATTTCCAACATGTTAACTTAATATACATTATAATTTATATTCACTTAAATATTAATTTCTAGTAATAATTATTCAAACTGTTTTTTCCGTGTTACCAAACAAAAATAATGATAGGTATTTTATACTTTATTACAAGCTGAACTCGGTTATGTCTAAAAAATCGTGAATGTGAATAAACGCTGCGGCTATTGAAGTCGCTCAAAAGGAAGAAAGGTTTTATGAACTCTTTGGTGATTAATGGTTAATGTCCCTTATTATATGTTGTTTGGTGAAAATGTTGTTATTAAGAATTTATATGTTGCATGTTTAAAGATTTTTAAAATTGTTTTAGAGTTGCAATTAGTTTCAAATTTCAATAGTGTCTATAATGAAAGTGGTTACTCTACTAAGTGTTTAACTAAAAATTTTTTTATACATTTTTAACAATATAGCAAAAAAATAATTTAAAAGTTTTTGCAATTTTGAATTGTGCTTAAATGTTTTTAATGCTTTTATACAGATTTAAAAAAAATCATATGTGGGATCTTGGATTAAATTTTAATGAATTTTTCGACCCAGTGAATATTTTTTTATTGGTATTTATCTCATACCTTTAATTTATAAATAGCTCAAAAAGAGTCGAAATATTTTAAAAACTATACCATAAATTTAAAATGATAATATAAACATTTCGTGAAAATTTCAAGTATAAAATTTATGAATAATGATTAAATTTAAAAAACGTAGTATTTTGTTTCATTTTTACATTACTTATATTACTGTTATTGACTGCTTATAAAATTTTGTTAAATCATATTTGATTATTGCCAAGATGATATCCTTATATAAGTATATATATCATGGAGAAAATTATTAATTCATCAGTTGATTTTCATACTCTGCAATAAACAGACGTTAGGTAGAGTTATTTGTTATAAGTTTTTTTTTCATCCTTTTCAAACCGTAATGGAAATCACGTCAACCGAGCAAAGCTTGATGCATTGTGTATCCTTAAAAGAAACGTGCCCCAAATCGGATAGCCTTGCAGAGGAGCAAATGTTGACGCCAGCACTTTCCATCCAGTCATCGACAACGGAGATCATCGGTTGTGAACAAATCGATTGCAGCACGCCGGTCGAAACTCCGATGGTGGATATTAAGAAGGACTGCGGTGACTCTGCAGGTGTCGAAACAACGAAAACACTCAAACCTACTATTGAGGAAAACAAGCTGGAGATGTCCGTTATTGTCGTGGGTATCGATACAATGGTGCCGTTTACACAACCGCAACAAATAAGACGTCAATTCCTGTCGACCCTTCGGAGAGGTTTCCGGAGGGTCTTCAGGGCCATGTGTTGTGGTTGTGTGTCGCCACGCGATCAAGATGGGGATCAAAAGCACCATAAGAAAGGGAAAGGATACCGAAAGCGCACGATTGTGAAGGCGGTATATTTATTTATATCACGTTTTCCG